ATTAGAGAGTGCAGCTCATTTATATACAAACAGAGTATAACTAGAAGAAGCCTACAGGTCCAAACTGTCAAAACAGCATTGATGAGTTGGACTGTTAGGTACTGTGCTAGACCATAAAACCCCACTTCAATATTTACAGATTTAGAAATTAAGACCAAGTTTGTTCCTTTAGGTCTGAAGTCATCATTTGTATTGGAAAATTACAAAAAAAAAGGGAAAAAGTTCATGACAGCTGCCTTTAAAGCGTGGAAATGCAATAATTCTGTGTGTTATTGGCTAAGACATTAAAAAAAGCACAGATTTCAGAAGCTGCTGATATGTTCTGTTGTTTAGCTCATGTAATTATAGCCTGCTGATTAAAGTTACTCTTAAAGAATAAAGAGAAAAGAAAGATGTGGTAAGAAAGTGAGAGAAACAAGAGTGATACATGGGCGCCATTTGTAAAGTGAAACATGCTCAAAACCTTACAAAAACATGTTTTTTCGAGTCATTTTTTACAACATTTAGTAAAATATTTGTAACTTTTCATATTTAAAACACAATTTTAAATGTTAAATCTAAATGTTAAATCTAAATGTTACAGGAAACTAAATATTACCTAACATGCACGGATCAACGGAAATACCAAAATAAAAGCTTTACGAAAACCTTCGGTGCAAAAAGTGTTCCGGTAGTGGTCAGATTAAATTTGAATGTTAACTAAATATTTAGTTTCCTGTAACATTTAGATTTAACTTTTAACATTTAGATTTAAATATAATATTTAGATTTAACATTTAGATTTAAATACAATATGTAGATTTAACATTTAAGATTGTGTTTTAAATATGAAAAGTTACAAATATTTTACTAAATGTTGTAAAAAATGACTTGAAAACACACGTTTTTGTAAGGTTTTGCGCTAAATGTAGAAAAATGTTGCCGTTAATTTCAGCATGTTTCACTTTACAAACGGCGCCCCATAGATACACAGATGGGTAAATGCCAACATATTATTAGCTTTACATCAAATTCACAGTACAGTTCCCTGTACAACAATATAAATGGAGACGAACTGAGGAAACATCAGTATGTGTAGCAACAATATTGTCTTCTGTACACAATTGCAGCACTAAAGTCTCCTCCTGTAAAGTAAAGGCTCACAAAATTGAAGATATTTATAGATACGAGTGTAATACATTCACATTGTCATGTTGACTTAGCAGCCTGGCCTTGGTTCCCACCACAAAGATAAATCGAACTTAAACAGCATAAACCTGCAGCTGTAATATCCTCACAGTCTCAAAGAGCCAGCTCACCCCAAACTCAACTTTAATTCTTTATATTTGGCCTGAAGCTGCTGAACCACACCGTCCAATCATATCACTCTACAGAAGATGGTGCTTCTAACAGCATGACAAGATAATCATTGATACATTAATTACATCCCCATCAGGTGATCTGCAGTGTTAGCTTTTTAGTTTTTTTGGAGGGTGAGAGGATAGGTGTAGATAGTAAAAATAATATAATTGTGAAACAACTCACAAAAAAAGTTTGTGTATTGTTTAATTTTGATTTAATTTTATTTTTTGAAAGATGTAAAATGTAGGAGGCAATCCTGGGGTGAACGGTGCCTGTAATTTGCCAAAAGCATTAGTCAATTCAAGGCTGTGTAATGCATCAGAGTTGTGCTGTTTAATGGCTGTTTAGTCCTGTTTGGCCTCCCAGATTTACTGCGCAGCACCATCCCCCTCAGCCTTCTATCAGCATCAGTTTAATCTGTAGTTCCATTACACAGATGTACAGCACTGAGGCTTGGGATTTTACAGAGAATCTAATGCAAAGCAGCGTGCATTTTAATAAAACGTACATAGCAGGATGCTGTGGCGGTGACTTTGAGGCTGTTTGTACAGAGGAGATGAGAGGAAAAGCTGCTTCTCCCACTGTTTTTTGGCCCAGACTGAGAGAGGCAGGCCGTAATTGGAATGGTCAGGGTGTGCCAGCTTCATTGGGGATAAGAGCAGGAAGGACAGAGTCTCTCCGAGAGATGGAGGGAGAGAGAGATGATTTTCAACGCTGTCAGCAGATCAGAGTCTTTCTAATGATCTAATGGAATAATCTTGCTGCCACACGAGGGATGGGTTAACCCCTCGCTAACCACTAACCGCTGATATGTTACGCTTGTAGTTTGTGTGCTTTGGGTTTTTGCAGCTTTGTGTGTGTGTGTGTGTGTGTGTGTGTGTGTGTGTGTGT